CTTTAAGAAATGAGGGCATAATCATCAGTCCATAGGACAGTGATGAGAAAGGAAAGAAGGTGGGGAGCAGAATTGCGTGAGCCTCAAAGGAACAAGGCAGTTTATGAGAATGTGGAGAGTAATGGTCTGAGGTGGCATTAGGGAGTAAGAAGCAAAGCCTAAATCTTTAATAATAAATCCTTACTTGAAAGGGCTGTGAAAAATGCTATGTCCTGAAGGCCAAAAACAACTATATTTGAATTTTCTAGGAATATAGAGAATATTCAGTAAAAAAAAGTTAGGACGTAGTTTGCTAACTATGGGATGACATTCCAGAGAAAGTGCAAAAGATATTTAATCCCGAGGAAACAATTTCAATGTGTGTAAAAATAAGCCAGAAGTATGTTTATTATAACAGTGTTATGGTTTTACCAAGATTGAAAAAAATAGATATTTAAATAAAAGATAATCTATCTTAAAATTTTTCTGTAAAAATATTTAACCACATATAATACAGATATGTTCATATCTTGTTGTCTTATTTTAAAGAAATATGATAAAATATGAATCTATATATGTATAATATATGTGTATATGTTCTGATAAAGCTTAAATTGCATTTTTAAACTTGGAATTATACCACATCAGTGATACTGATTACTCTTACTCAGTTTAGGGGCTGTCTTTTCATTTTTTTGTATTTTGTCCTAGTTCTACATTGCTAGTGCTGATCTACTAGAGTCCAAGACACTATTACAGGGGATGAGGGGACCCTCTCATTTTTATGACAACTTTGGTTTCCAAATTAAAATCATTAGGCCATGTTTTTTTATATTTATGTTTTCACTTGACAGAGTTCTTTTATGCTTATTATAAAACCAAAACTTGATTTTAACAGCAAATGTAAGAAATAACTTAAAATTCACTAATGGGTGTTATTGCATGAAAAAAGACTCCAGGAGGTTGCCAGAGCTGGGGGATGGGGCAAAATGGATGAAGGTGGTCAACAGGTACAAAATTCCAGTTGTGAAAGAAATGTCACGGGGGTGAAGTGTACAGCATGGTGACTATAGTTAATACTGTATTGTATATATGAAAATTGTTAGGAGAGTAGATCTTAAAAGTTCTCATCACAAGAAAAAAATTGTAACTATGGAAAGAAATGTCATGGAGATGTATTGTAAAGCATGGCAGCTATAGTTCACACTCTGTTGTATATTTGAAAGTTGCTAAGACAGTAGATTTTAAAAGTTCTCATCACAAGAAAAAAAATGAAACTATGTATGGTGACAGATGTTAACTAGACTTTCTGTGGTGACCATTTTGTACTATATAAAAATAATGAATTATTATGTTGTATACCTGAACCTAACATAATGTTAAAATGTCAATTACATCTCAAAAAAGAGACACTAATATTTCTTTGTGAGGCAAAGAGAAATGTAAAATTATTCAGAACCTCATTACAGGAATGTGATAATCCAAGGAATCTATTTCACAGTTGTTTATTTTAGAAAAAAAAAACAAGGACTAAATATTACAAATGCTTTTATATCTATTTACATCATGGTATCTAAATACAGAGTGGTTTACTAGAAAAGTAAAAATAATAAAATTAAAAAAGTAAAAGTTGTATGAAATCCAGTTAAGTGACATGGAGATTGAAATAACTAGTAAGTGATGAGTTATTGAAAATTAGTTGGTCCCAAATAAATTCAAAAAACAATTAAATAGTTCAAATAATATACCTGTGTCAGGCATTCTACTAGGTACTGGCATGTACAACAACAAATAATAAAGTATATTTCATTCACATAACTTACAGGTGACAAAAACTAATAAAGTTTTATTTATTTATTTTTTAAATGGATAAAACCCTCTGAGACTTAATTACACTGAGGCACAGATTATCAAAGGGAAGAGTAGAAATAGCTCTTCAACACTTCTTCACCTATCCCTCCACTCTCACCCCTTGGTATTATTCTGAGTCACAAAGCCAAGAAAAATCAAAGCAAAAAGTTATAAAGTAGTCCTATTCTTTTATCTTGATGTGGAGTGGAATCATAAAATTTTCAAGAATTTTGGACCCAGGGGGAACAATTTTGAAAAATTGTCCTTGAAAATGGAAAGTAATAAAAATAGAGAGGCCTAAATGGTTTGTTGGTGTATTACCAGATGTAAGTCTCACTTTCCCCAGATTTTTATTTCAGTCTATTTTTCCTACCTTTATGTCATTTTTCTTTACCTTTATGTCATTCTATTTCTCTCTCATTTGTTTTTTTTAGACTTCCTTCTAAATCTATTAAACAACAAAAATCTTAAGATTATTTATTTGCTTCTCACTTTTATATTCTTATGTACAAATTGTTCTTATATTGTTTTTTAAATTTTATTTTAAAAGGCAAAGAAGTTTTCAAAGGACATTAAAATTCAGATTCATTTTTTTGAATTTTAAATATATTTATCAATTTCAGAATGGGGGTTGAAATATCATACTTCTTATACAACTTGTGTATTTCCTCTATTTTCAAAGTATAAATTAGAAAACACTTTCTTCCTTGCTCCATTCTTCCATTCCTATAAATTTACAGAATTCTGCCTCAGGCTCTCTGTTTTTCTTCCTTCTCTGTGATTATGTCATTTTCACGTTAACCTTTTCAATTAAAATCCAACCTGTTAAACTTTTCAAATCCTAAATATAGAATCGTTAGCATAGTTTCCTGAAATAAAAAGTATTAACATTACTATGTTATGATTTTACCCAAGAAGAGTAGGGAAAAAGAACTACTAAATTCGAAATTCAGAATAATTGTCTGAAATGGAAACCACAACCTAAAATGAATCTTTTCAAATGTGAAATAAAGTTAAACTTACTGATACATCATACGCTGTTGACCATGCAAACTCCTTCACCTCCGTGCTGCTTTGTGAATTCTCATCAAATGAGTAGCATCCTGGGCATTTTTTCAGACTTGTAAACTGACTAAAGAATGCTTAAGGATTTAAGGTAAACTAGTTTGACAAGTTGGGATGGATTAACTTTAACCAATAGTATGGTTGGAGGTGAAGAATCACTTTAATAGTCTTTATTGCAGGAAAAATTTCCTGGTTCTGGCTAATTAAGTAAGAAACAATGTCATGTTCAAAACCTAAGCAACACCTTGAACGCTTTGAATGATTTAGTATTTCTCTTTCAAGAGGCAGCACTCTTCATTCTGAGTCAATACAAGTCTGGTCTTCAGGCCATGTCATTCATCTCTTTCAGAGGCAAGAGTGAAACAAGATCAGAAGTTTTCATAAAGCATTTGATAGCCCTTGACTTGCTTTTCTTAGTGCAATGGTACATGTACTCATTATGTCTAACCCAATAACTCATTTGTGTCTACTGTAAGGGGAATCCAGTTTTAAGGTGAGCAAATGAAAATGTATTTGCACCCATTACCATTTTAAAGGGCTTCTCCTGCTGATGGTCTCCTCTCTATGTGTTCTCCTTTGTAGCTATCGTGGTGTCTACCTTCTTTGACTTCTTTTCTTTTCTGTTGATATAATCTTTTTTCCCAATGCATTTTTGCCCACATGCCTAAAATATCATTTCTTTATAGTACAGCTCTCGATTCTCCACCTCACTGTAAGATTCAAGTTATTGAATCAGACTCCATCTGTATACTCTAAAGATAACTCCTTCAGGATCTTTTCCTTTAATTTCTCAGCTCTCACACTACCTGAACAACACTTAATACATACTTTCCCTTTAAGCGGGCATCTAGTTTTAGATTTGCTTATTTTCAGGTTTAAAGACCCATTTCTCCTGTTAGAGAGTGAAAGATTTGAGGCCAGAAACTGTGGTGTCTTTGAATAAATGCACTTACCAGCATCTGTGAAAACACTTTGACATTCAATACTTACTGTCTTTCTTTTAGTATATTTGACAATCAACATTCATATTCATATTTTCAATCTCTCTTTTGTTTTGAAAAAAGTTTTTTGGCAAACAGGAACACATGATAATTATAATTAATAAATGGACATATGAAAAAAGATTCAAATTAGCTAATAAATAAAGATCCATATTTTTATTAATTTTCTATTAACATTTAGCAAATTACTACAAACTTAGCCACTTAAAAAACTTGTCATTTAATACGTATTTTTATTCTGTAAGTGGAAGTCCAGGAGAACTCACCTCTCTTCTCTGCTTACAATGTCCCAAAGGCTGAAAGCAAGGTGTGGGCTCGGCTGGGTTCCTATCTGGAGGTTGTGATGAAGAATCACCTCCCAACTCATTCGGGCTGCTGGCAGAATTAAGTTCCTCCCAGAAAGACTAAGGTCCCTGTCTCTTTGCTGCCTGTCAGCCTGGGTTGCCCTCAGTTTCTGAAGGCTACCTGCATTTCTCGATACATGGTCACCTTCATCTTCAAGCCAATAGTGCATCTTCTCACACTTAGATTCTCTTTGACTTTTCTGCTACCAGAAAGAGAAAACTCTCTACTTCCAAAGGACTCTATTTCTAAAGGATTAGATTAGATCTACCTGGAAAAATCTCCTCTGATGAACTCAAAGTCAATTAATTAGTAACCTTAATGATATCTACAAAATTCTTTTTGCCATGTAATGTAACATAATCATGGGTATGATATCTCATCATATTCACAGTGAGAAGCAGAATTCTACCTACCACAATACTAAAAGAAAGTATTGTTTTCTACCTTTAAACTACATGTTTAATAATATTAATAGATTTTAGTGAAAATTCAACACTCGCCTACTTTGGAGATATGGCCAGTTGGCACAGTTTGAGAAAGCAAACTTGCTGAAGTGATAAGGATGGAAGAGCTTCTGTGCAATAGAATTCATTTGTGCATGCAATGTCACAGTGTGTTTAAAGCACTAAAGGTACTTTTTAAAAAACTAAAATGAAGAATGGCAAAAGGGAAGAACCCAAGGTGGGAGATTAAAATGGGAATAAGAAGAGGATCATCATGAAATTTTTGTACATCAAGAAAATGGATTTTGTCTTTACCCTATAGGTCAAAGACTCTTAATTTCTTTTTTTTTATGCCATGTCCATGGCCATTTTTGGCTCTATGGTGAAGACTATAGAATACTTCTCATAAGCAATGACCTTATTCAGCCAGAGGGCTGAATATATTCCTATGAATATATTTTTGTTCTTATTGTTGTTGAATCATGAAGATTTCACTGAGAGGAGATAATTAAGCATTTGCAAAAATTTTGGTCCAATCTTGTTCTAGCATTAAAAATGACCACCTTAGTTGTCAGGGCACCCAAAATTCCATCAAGACCCCACAGGGATTATGTCCTGTAGAGTTTACTGTGAGCCTGCTGGAATTGACCTGTCTTTTAAAACAATGAGTCAGACAAACAGAAGAGGGTTTTTTGTTTTTTGGTTTTGTTTTTTGTTTTTTTGTTTGTTTTTTTATGAAAAGATGTGACTATTATTATAGCATTCACAGCATAAGAGGCAAAGCTCAGGTTTTTTTTTTTTTTTTAACCACAATATATTTGCAAAATTCACAAGGCAATACTATTGATAAATAAAAAAGCTAACACTGTAAAAAAACTTCTTTACAATCTTAATGCATTTGCAGCATCATCTGTACTGACAAACCTTTACAATAATAAACTTTGCACTCTTTTGAGCAGGTTTTAAACATTCTTTAACTTTTCAACTTTATTATTCAATAAGAAAGCTTCACATCAATGCCATGAAGTAGATGACTCAATGTCCCATTTGGTAGATGGAAAACCTGAGGAAACACTATTGCATGATTCCTATAACACAACGCAATAGGTTAGACGTCACCAAACTAGAAGTAATACATATAAATTCTGTTTTAAAAATCCACTTTTCCATTTCTTAGATTGACTTCTGGCCTTTTGGATATATTCCTCTCATTTGTGTAAAAATGTCATTGAATTTAATTAAATTAAGCATGGAATCATTTAAATCAGTATATATAGTTTCACAGACACTTATATGCAAAAAGTTATCACAGTTTTCTAAAATATAAATATAATTACACAAAAGCACATATCCATTGCTATAGAACTTATATAGTAGAAAATAACTTTTTTTTTGTAGGCAGATTTGTTTTCCTGTTTCAACCAAAGGCTGTGTTTATCTTTAGTATAAAAAAGGTCTATTGTCAATCAAATACAAATTAAATATGCTAAATATTCTCCAGAAAGCTTTGGATGTTTCTCTGCCGATGAAAAGAAGTTTAAAGATTTATGTTTTCACTCTGCTTTTTCTTATTATTAGTAGTCATCAACTCGGAAATATAGTGACTTTTTAAAAAAGAAAAGTATATATGGATGACCCTTTTCTGTTTAAATTTTAATACTGAGATATAAATAATAACTAGGAGCTTTTTTAGTTATACTTATATTGTTTACATATATTACATATAAACACATACATGGAAAGTAACAAAACTTTCTATCATTAAAGAAACGGGGAGCCTAATTTTCTTCTCTGATAAATCAGAACAAGAAATCTAGCACTTGAAGTCTCACATCGGAGGCCTGGAGATGAATACAGTTGCATTTCCAGTCACAACTCTGAGGCCAGATGGCTACACATTTTATAGCTACATGTCTACAAGCAGACATAATTCAAAATATATTAATGAGACATAAAAAGTGATTTCGAAAATCTAGTGGTTCACCTAAACTTTTTACAGTGTAATTTGAAGTATTCTGAAATTAATTACATGACTTTAAAGAAACAGGGAACGTTTTTTAAAAAGAATATTATTATCGAGTCCAAAGCACATAAATAATAATTAATAGTAGCTAGTCGATGTTGACAGTCTGCTGTATGCAGACACTGTTCCAAGAGCTTTATTTGCGTTAATGCATTTAATCCTCATAACAACCATATGAGGTAGGTGCTATTTTTATTCCCATTGTAGAGATGAAAGAGTTAATGCACAGTGGTGTTAAGAAAACTGCTCAAGGTCAAATAGCTCATATGTGGCACAGCCAATGTTCAAGCTTGGGCAGCCTGATTCCAAAGCCTGTACCCTCCACCACTAGATTTTGTGCAGTTTTAAGCCCCAAAGTCATTAACTAACTTGACAAATTAAGTTAATTTATCTTAAAACTCACAGAGACATTCCTACCCATTATAGCAAACACTTATATAGTGCATGATATGTGTCAGGCACTGTCCTTAGTGCTTTATGCAAATCAACTCTCCCAACCTGACATTTTGATAGACATCTGAACTGTCAGAAGCTGAAAACTTATGAAAGCACCAGTTGCCATGTATTAATGTAGATATTTCTAAATAAACAATTGGATAGCTTATTCTACCAAAAATCTAGAGTGTTTGTCCTGTTACTAATCATTTGCAACCAACTCTGCTGGCCTAGGTCCCATCAGTTCTTTCTATTTCTTTTTAACTAAGGGAAAATGCTCCCAAGAGTCTCTTTTTCATTCTCATTTCTAGCCTAACACCAACTAATGATGCTGTTCAGAATAAGTCAGAAATGCCTATTAACAATACGACGTGCATCCTGAAACTAGTGCTTGTGTATTTAAAGCAATATTAACTGCAAGTTCAGATACATTTAAACATCTTTTAAATGGCAATTCTTGTGGTTAATAATAATGCTCCGTTATTATTTATAAACCCAGGTTAGAGTTCAAGTTATATTGCAAATCTCATGCTTCTCCATTCTAGTCATTGAATGTGTCCAGTCATTTGTGCTAGAATATTGAAGTCCTGAATCCTCAGGGAAGACTATTGTTTGATTTTTTGCTAGAAGAATCTCAAGTGCTTCAGGTAGTATATGAGGTAAGATTTTCAGCAGCTCTGGAAGCTCTTCATATCCTGTGGAAAATGATGTTCCCCGTCTTCCATTGGGGAAAACCATTTATAAATATTCATTTTATTATTAAGTATCACAAACAGTTTCCCTTGTGAATGAGGAATCAGTGTTACCTGTCATTTGCTGTGTCTTCTTCCCTCAGGGTAGAAAGAGAGTTTAGTCACAAAGGCCACCTCAAATATTAGATTGGTCTGAGTTTAAAGAATTTCTTGACATCCAGCAAAAGCACTGATCCAAACCACATGAATATAAATAATATACGATATGTAGAAGTTTTTAGCTCCATGTGCCACAAATATAATTCATAAACAATTCTCACTAGATACCAGTCTTTGAAGCAATCCAGTCTCGATACTGAGTCACTCTCGTGTAGACCCCAGGTTTTTTGGGAAGAGCACATGATTGTCCCCAACTTACTATACCAACAAGGTACCAGATGTCATGATTATCATAAACCAGAGGTCCACCAGAATCACCCTGGAGAAAAAAATAAAAACATATTTAAAAATTTTAACTCTAATTTAATTCAGTAGGAAGGTCATTGCAATCATCTCTTCCACAGAAAAATAGGAAATCGATACATAGAACATGCAACTAGGCTAGATATCAATTATGTAATGTTTCTCTCAATTGAGTTAAAATTTTGTGCTAAACTTTAAAGTGCATTGTTTTTTAGAAAGACTAACATCCATATTAAATAGTTACATTATTTCTGGTTCAGCATTCTTGAATTTTTTTGCTGGTTTGATTAGATATTTATGCATCATTTGGTAAGCATGTATATAAAGTATGAGGTTAGTATTTGTGCGTAGGTGAAAATTTTCAATGATCTCTTCTGAATATTGTTACCTTACGTTTTATGGACCTATTCTTGGTCTTCTTTTACTCACCTAACTCAAATTTATGTTCGCTTGCTGAATTTTATATAAGCCCCCTGAAATTTTTTTTGGAACATGGAAGATTAACTAAATAAACAGATATAAACATGGAGGTTAAAAGTATCATCTCAGTAGTTGAATTGCCAAGTTTCAGGCCCAGCTCTATTAAATACTAATTGTGTGACCTAGGGTAAGAACTTAACCTCTCTCTGCCTCTTCCACATTCTTTATTTTTTTGCGAACTATTTATTGAATTTCTACTGTATGTCCAAGCATTTTGATGGACATTGAGAATATCATAATGACCAAAAGTGAATGGTCCATATGCCCATAGAACTTAAAGTTTAGGTTAAAAAAACCAATGTTAAATAAACCCACCAATTAATGCAAAATTCAACTGTAATAAGTGCTATAGAAATGTACAGTATGGTAATTTGACTGGTCAGGAAGGCCAGGAAAGTTTCCCCTGATGAGATATAATCAAGCTGATATCTAAAGGAAGAAGAGTTAACCATGAAAAGGAAAATGTAGATAAAACATGTTCTAAATAGAAGGAATAGCATGACTGGCACATTCAAGGGCCTTTAAAGAAAAAAGAGGCTGAAGAAAAGACAATAAGGGAGCAAGTGGTATGCGATGGGGATATACAGGTAGGAAGAGACTGGTCCAAGTGGAGCCCTTTGCATCATTTTGAGTAGTTTTTTTTTTTTAATCTTAAGATAAAAATGAAGGTTAGCCACTGAAGTGTTTTAAAGAGGGTATTGACATTGACATGATCAGATTACATCTGGTTAGAAACCATCCTAGACTAAAGGAGCATAGAGTGAATACAAGAAGATATGGTAGATGGCTAAAGTGGCTGAGGCAGTTGAGAAAAGGAGGTGAAGGTAGGAAAGATATAGAGAGAGAAAGGTAGAGAGGGAGAGAGATGATCAAGAGACATTTAAGGAGGTAAAACCATTCAATTAGGTCATCAATTAGATAAGGGATAAGGAGAGAAAGTTAGAATAGCTTCTAGTCTTCTGGCTAGTTTAACAGAATAAAAAGGGCATGCTATTCAGAGAGATATAAAACATAGGAAGAGGATCAGGTGAAGAGGGAAATAAGAGCAGAATCAGGTGCAACATTTTAAATGAGATGCTGTCGAAATATCCAAGTAGAGTAGAATATATGTCTGGAGATGAAAGGGGTGGTTGGGGCTAAAAGTATAAATTTGTAAATTTATACTGCAGATAATTATCATCTGCAAAAAAGATGATAATTGAAGCTATGGAAGAGAATTAGATCCTCTAGGGATAAAGTATAGAGAAAAAAGAGGAACGGACACAGGATAGATCAAAATTTAATGTCTGGGATTAAGAGAGTGATCCTGAAAAGGAGATGGAGAGGAAGCAGACAGAGACGTATGAGGAAAATTATTACAAGCCAGGAAAAACAATATTTCAGGCAAGAGCGTAAACATTGTTAAATGCTGTTAAGAGGTTAAAAAAATTAAGATCAAAAATCATTTGTTGGAGGTCATTGGTGGGTCATTGAAAAATCTCAGGAAATGCTTTTTTCATGAAATGATAGGGTAGAAACCATATAGAAGTGGTTTGAGATGTTAGTAGGGGTTGAGAAAATTGAGACAATGGATACAAACATTTTTCCAAATATTTGATGATAAAGAGAAGATAGGGTGCTAACTGGAGGCATTATGGGTCAAAAAAGTGTTACTTGTGTTTCCTTTTTTTCCTAACTTAAAAGAGTTGACAAGGCTCAAGGTGTGTGCCTAGAATAGGTGGCTGAGGAGGGGTGAGGATCACTGGAGATTAGAGGATCTAGGAACTAAGAATTCAGCATTCAAATGGGTTAGTGTTAATATTGCAGGGCTTGAGATGAAGAAGAAAATTGTTTTAGTGTCAAAATCATAGAATGAGAAGGACAAGAAGGGAGAGACTCGAAGGTAGGGATGAAAAAAGATACACGAGAGATGACGACAGAGCTGAATAAAATGGTCTTCAGTGGAGAGGCTTCTTTGTCTTTTGTTTTCAATTTTGTTTAAGAAAATAACAATAGACCATAAGAGTAATTGTATGAACCAGAAATAGGAGCAACAGATGTTAATTTTCTAATTTGTAAAACAGATAATTATAATACTGTTTTGATTTCAATATAGCAAATAAAATAATAAATATAAAGTGCATAGCACTTGGCACATAGTAAACATTCAATATAATAATTTTTGTTATTATAATTATCAAATAAACTGAGTCCTTGGTGAAATGGAGGCCATTCTTTTTTGCTTCCAAGTGAAATATACGCCAAACTTAGAAACAGCTAATGAAAACTTTCCTTTTAATGTTTTGACCTTGACTTTAGACTTACTTTACATGCGTCTACTTTTCCTTCCATGAATCCTGCACATAACATTCCTGAAGTTATCAGGCCATCATACACATCTTTTCTGTTACATACATCAGTGCTTATGGTTTCCACCCTGGCTTGCCGAAGTTTATTTTGTGTAGGTCCTATTACATACACAAAATAAAATAAAACAAAAAAATGGGTTCTTCAAATACAATTGTAACTAAAACATGGAAGACACATAAATGGTATACTCCTAGGAGCAAAAGCACAATATTATTTTATTATTTTGTTGCCTGATTTTATTTTCTGCATCATAAATGTCTACATGCAAGGAACCATAAGCATATATGCCCCGATATTATGTCATATTTGTGGATCTTTGAAAACTATTCGAACCCTTAAAAGTACATGTACGGATATCCTCCCCCCCAAAAAAAAAATACATGCAACATATATATATATATATGTGTGTGTGTGCGTGTGTGTGTGTGTGTGCGTGTGTGTGTGTGTGTGTGTTTGTATATGTATGTGTGTGTGTACTTTTTTTTTCATGAAAAGGTCCATTACACTGACCTTGTCCGACTGGCATATTTTTTCATATAAGGAAATTGAGGCTTGGGGAAATTGACCAATTTTCCAAAAGCTATTCAAGTAGAAACCAGGCTATGAGCTGCACAGAGCCATTTGCTCTATTCCCTGCTGTAGTGTGTTATTTAAGGGTGTCTTAAAGCATGGGAAATGGAACAAATGCCTAATATATGCTAGCAATCTGACCAGCACAGAGTAGGGCCAGGAATTAGGGGGAGAGAATACTGCACAATTGAATATGTGAAGGAAAGGAAGTAGTTTAGGGCTCCTGATTAAAACTATCAGTGAGTATCCCTAAGCTAGATGTAAGGCAAGGGAGCACTAAAGGAGCCTTATAACAACCTCTTACAAAGTCAAGTTGGCGATGCATAGAGCATTTGAGAAATCTTACGTGTAATAGAATTCAGTCCAAAAAAAAGTCAGCTTATGATACATTAGCATTGGTCTCCTAGTTTATTCTGGATATCTTTGATAGAACTTTAACCATTGCTTTATTTCCCATTTTAAAACATTCAATCCAACTCTCTCTTTAAAGGAAATAAACTAGTAACTAGAAATCTTAAGTTCTGGTCTGCAGTTATAAAATTTTAGAACTGATGTCTTTTAAACCTCATATTAAGTGGGACAGAGGAAGAAATATGGATTCTATTAACTAATCAAAATTGAAATTCTCAAAACATTCACAAAACACTTTCATGTTTATGATTAGTATAAATGCTAATTAAAACAGGGAAGAATTTTGACAAAAAAAAAAAGACTATCATAAGATTGTGGTTTGAAGTACATGTTAATCAGGAGTGTTTACATATGGGAAATGTACAATATGCAATTACACCCCCTTCTACTTCCATACCATTTTGAACCTTTTCATAGCACCTAAAACTGTTTTTTTCTTCTATAATAGCCTTTCCCTTTCTCAACACTACTTCAATTAATTGTGAAATCCTCAAGAGTAAGGACCTGATTCCTTTAACTTATTTTTTTTGATATGCAGAGTTTTTCTTCTCAACTTTATTCAACCCCATCTTTAAACCCATATGTTCTTATTTATTTATTTATTTATTTATTTATTTATTTATTTATTTAAATTAGTTTCAAGTAAACAGTACATTGGTTAGACATCTGCATAGTTCGTAAAATGGTCTCCCCAATTGCTCCCGCCCCTGACTCTCCACCTAGCCAACGTATTAATTCTAACTGCATTCCCTATGCTGTGTTCCCCATCCCCATGACCATCCATCAGCTACTAATTTGTCCTTCTTTAACCCTTCGCCCCATTCTCCCAGCCCTGCAAACCTCCCTCTCCTCTGTCTGTCACCATATTGTCCCCTATATTTGTGAGTCTGTTTTTGATGAGTTTGTTCTTTTTATTCCTTAGATTCTACATATAAGTGAAATCATATAATGTTTATGTTTCTCTGTCTGACTTAAATACCTTCTAGGTCCATCAGAACAATATCTTTTTCCTTCTCCTTCCTTTTAGTCTGTGTGTATCTTTTAATCTGAAGTGAGTCTCTTGTAGGCAGCATATGTAGGAGTTTCATTTTCTTATCCATTCAGCCACTCTATCTTTTGGTTGGAGCA